AGTGTCCAAAAAAGACCATGAGAAATTCTAGAAATAAACAGTTTTCTGGGGGGTTGGAGAGATGACTTGTGGTTAAGAGCACTGGTTGCTCTTCCAGAGGACCTGGGTTCAATTCCCAGCACCCAGCAATTCATAACTAATTCCAGTTCCAGGGAACCTGACACCATAGCTAACACTGATATTCATAAAATAAAAATAAATAAACTTTTAAAAATCTGCAATTAAAAACAACAACAACCACCACCAGTTTTCCGGGAGTTAACTAAAGCATAGATCTCCAGTACTAACAGAAGTTAGAATTTGTTATAAATAATGTTGCCTGGCATATTGAAGGGTCTAGGTTCAGTACATTCAGTCCACAGTAACATATACAACCATAAACGATGATGTCACATATTTTCAAATTTGTTATTTCTAGGTTCCTTTGTTGTTATAGAGCATGCCTGTCTCTGCGGCACTTCAGAACAAAGCATCCCATTCTGGAGGGACAGGGAGCCCATTATTGTGCAGCACTTGTGACTGCCTAACGAGTTAATGAGCCCTGCCACCGGTAAATGAAAAGAAAAATTAACCCAACCTATATCACATAATGATAGCTGTTGCTTGCACAAAAAACCAGAAGTGAAACCACCCGACCCTGAAACAGAGAAAGTACCAACCTTACAGACAAAAACTGAAGGCAAGGCTGGCGGCTCATAGGTAGAGCCTAGCCTTCATGAAGCCCTAGTTAACCACAGCTCGAAAACAAACAAGTGACTAATCTACCTCGCCTGCAAAGGGACATAGCTGAGGAGGACATTATCGGGAGCATTCTAGGCCACCAATGAGACAAAGGAGCCCGACCAAGGCAACAGACTCCCAAGAGCAGAGAGGACCAGTTTTGACTACCTGGACCCTGTCTTTAAGCAAAAACAGTAGGAAAAAAGAAAGAAAAAGAACTGATCAGCAGAAACATTCGACAATGGGTTTCGTCTAAAATTTGCTTCCCCCCAGAGAGTCCACGTCCCAGCCAGGAACTCACTACACAGAACAAGCTAGTCTCTGTCTCACAGATCTCCCTGCTGAGTGCTCGGGCTAACAGCCTGCACCACTCTGGTCCATCCATTTGTGCCCCAAAGAAAGATGTCTCTATCAAAAGGGGTTTTTCTTTCCATTTAAGGAAATATTAAAGTTTTAAAACCAGTAATGTTCATTTTTCTAAATAAAACAATTCCAGAACTCATTCAAGAAGAGGGTGGGGTTCCCAAAGGGATGGGGGGGGTCCCCTCATTTCCTAGCCCTACCATTTTCTAGCTGCATCTAACTCTGTAAATCAGAACTCTTGTACGCCCTTAGTCACTTTGCAGATCACTTTCAATCTTGTGTTTTAGGGAAGGATAACTTTTTAAATCATGCAAACAACACAGCCTATAATCACACATCCCCCTCACACCTCCTCGTAAAGAATGGTTAACACTGCCATAGTTCACAATCACACACACCCTCACACGCAGGTAAAGAATGGACAACCCTGGTAAGAACGGTGACCGTAAAAGCAATTCTCATGAGAGATCGACAGGGAATCAACTGTGGGTTATGCCCTTGTCTCCAACAACCACCCAGAATCAGACAAAGTCGGAAAGGAGCCCCGAGGTCCATAACTCTGTGAGCCCAGAGCTGCTAGTGAAGTGGGAAGGAGCCTGCAGCACCCACAAATTTCCCGGACTCCTTAGCCTGTTCCTTTCAGACCCTGTCAGGATGCACTCTTGCTGACTTTTATGGTCTCCGTGAAATCACTCACCTGCCAACAAAGATGAGACTAAAGAAAATAGAGGGATAGCAGCTTCTATCCCAAAGACAGGAACAGGCCAGGACCAGGGGTGAGGTGTGCAGTAAGACTTCTGATAGGGCCACCATAATTTCTCTGGAACCTGGGGAGGGGGCTGTAAATACTATGATGGCACACTATGTACATGATTTCTTTTATGAACCCATTACGTTTAGGAGTTAAGAGGTCATACTCAAAAACAACCTGAACCTACGGAACACTGAAAGAACTTTGTTCTCTGAGTTTGGATGACTTGTGTGCGCGCGCGTGCACATGCGGACAACTTGCAGGAGGTAGGTCACCAGGCTTGAAGGTAGGTTCTAGTTCCCACTGAGCCATCTTTCTGGCCCTCAGGTAACTCTTTTGTGCTAGTGCCCAATCTTCTGACACCCCAGAATGCATAAAACACCTCAGCTTTTTTGTCATTAGTTCCGACAAATAGTGAAAGTTTTTCAATTTGGTTTTTCTGACCTAAAGTAATGACCCTTCCTCAAAAAGTCTAAAATCTAAACAATCATTTTTTTTTACTTTCCTAAGTGAAATGGCAGCCCACAAACACGAGTGCAATCTGTTTAAACCTCAAACCTCAAAGGAAGCTCATTTCTTCCCCAAACCATTCTACGACCACCATTGCCCAGCTACTCTCAACTATTTATCCCCTTCACAAGGTGTGACTCCCTTCCATACAAGCCATGCTCAATTTACTAAGTCCTAAACCACCAGTCTCTCCCCCAGCAGAATTCTAGTGCGAGATGGGAATGTAGCGAGAGTATCTGGATTGTGGCTACACAGCAGGCAAAATACCAGGAAACGCCAGAGATAAACACCAGCCACAAGGTTTTAAGAGATACAGCACACAAGAGGAGTTCTAAGAAAGTTTCTAAACACAGACTTAGCTTAAGTAAACACTGCCAGGGTCCGGGCACAGCATGGTGGCCAATGTCTATAGCTCAACCTTCAGGAGGTGAAAGCAGGAAGATCAGGAGTTCAAGGTCGGCCTAGTGTATGCAGGACCAAAAAAGAATACAGAATACACTGTTGGAGACCAGCAAATACGGAAGCAGTTTAAAAAATGTTGCAGTGCTGGAGAGATGGCGCGGTGGCTTACAGCACACACTGCTCTGCCAGAAGTTCGGTGTCCCAGCACCCACAACCACCTGTAACTCCAGCTCCAGGGGGATCCAATGCCTTTGACTTTCACAGGCACCTGTACATGCTGTCTATACTCCCTCATCTCACACACACACACACACACAGATAATTAAAATAACAAATATAAATCCTTAAAAACACGTTCCATGAGTCAGGCACAGCGGTGCATTCTTTAATTCCGGCAGTTGAGAGGCAAAGGAAGGCAGATCTCGAGTTTGAGGTCAGCCTGGTCTACAGAGAGTGGTCCAGGCTAGCTAACTAGGGCAATATAGGGAGGCCCTGACTCCTTTTTTAAAAAGGGCTTTTTTGTGCTGTCCCTGATGTATACCCCAGCCTCACATTCTTACAAACCGGTTTAATGTACCCCGATTTCTTTTTTCTAGGAGTTCTGCCTGATAAACACTAACAATGGGAGAGGGGGCTGATATCTGAAGCCAAGAAAGAAACAATAACAGAAACAGATGACATGGGCCTGAAGTGTAGCTCCACTGCTAGAGCACTTGCTCAGCATGCACAAGGTCCTGGGTTCGAGCCCCAGCCCCTAACACACTCACACACCCCACTTTGTTTTCTCAGACTTACTCACTCAGGATAGTCTCATCTCATGTAGCTCTAGAGGCCTCAGTAATGCGTCAGTTAATTCCCTTGGAATTTGATCAGTACTTTGGTTATTAATAAACCCAAACCTTGCTTGGTAGACTCTATGAAGTCCGAAATCCACCTAGAAGGTTTCACTGTCCCAGAGAATGAAACAAACAGATACTTAAACGCAGTGCCTCTTGTGCGACTAGAGAGAACTCCCAGCTCACAGACATACATCTTCAACCCCCTTGGTTGTAATCCACGGCGAAGGATGCCTTCCTAACTCTTTGGAAGAGAAATCCTAAGTGGCTCCGAGAAGGCTGACATCTCAGCATTGTTTCCTACTCCTTCTTTTCTTAAGACTTCTAATTCTCTTCAGGCTGAAGCTCCATATCGACTTCACCAACCTGACTGGGTGAGACCGTATCTAACATGCTAATTCATGCTAACCGGTTCAAGCTCGTTTTTCTCCTCACACCTATGGATACCTTTCTACAAGACCTTCTGCCTCTCCTCCCACGGTAAGTTAAAATCTCTGGAAACCACACTGGGGCAGGCAAAAAAAAAGTAGGAGATAGTCTCAAAGTGAACTAGCTTTCCCTAGCCGACAAGAAGGACCCTGGCTCACTGAGAGAGACTCAAGATGTGACCAGAAGCTCCTGGAGAGTGTGCGGGGCGAGGGTGCCGGCGCGGGGAAAGTAGGGAAGACGGGAAAGCAAGCCCTGTGAGGATCCGGGGTGCCAAAGCCTGGAGGCGGGCGGACGAGCGGGAGAGGGGCAAGTGAAGCATCATTAGGCGAGAACGAGAAGCAGTCAGGGCGGCGAAAGGAAACAGGGCAGGGCAGGCGAGAGTTAGACCCCGAGAGCAAACTGACGAATCCGCGCCTTGTAGGGGTTAGCCTGGGTCCCGTCCGGGTCTCTCACCAGAACGCCGCGTTCAGCCCCAGGCAGCACAGGGCGCTCCTGGCGGGCCGCTCCCACACCAGGGCTGCCTGCACCCGGCTCAGCAGGGGCTCGTAGGGCCCCAGCACCTCCACCAGGGCCCGCTGCGCCGCCTCAACCTGCTGGTCGCGCTCCCAGGAGCCGGACATAGCTCGGCGGCTCCTGAAAGCCACCCCCGAAGCTGCACCCGGGGCGGCAGCCACCCCTTCGGCCTCCTCCATCTCCCCTCCAGCAGCCACAACATCCGGGGCCACGGCCCGGCAGTCACAATAACACCGACTGCGCAGAAGCGCGATTTGGCTGCGGAGGGGCGGGGGCCTAAGGCCGAATCGACCCGTGAGCGCGCATGCGTACAAACGCCAGCGCGCAGGGCTGCGTCGAAATAAGTTCCCGGCGTTGAGCGGGATAGACGGTCGCGCATGCGCAACCTGCATGACTGAAGCCCAATGAATGAGGAAATTCCCTAAGCAGAGCGTAGTTCTCATTGGAGCGGAGAAAGTTCAGGGGTGGAGCGGGTTGTTTGGCGCCTGCGTCTTGCGGCGAGCGCGCTAGCGGTCGGCGGCGCTGCTGGCGGGAGAGGCTGCAACGCCTATGTCTGAGGAGCGATGCCGAGGGAAATCATCACCCTACAGTTGGGCCAGTGCGGCAATCAGAGTGAGCGAACCTCCAGACCCCCCGTGGGTCCCTTAGGTCCAATGGGCCCTCGCAACGAGATCCTAGATTCTGTCTGTTCTCATCTGTCCTTCCCAGAATCGTACTCCCTCCTCCCCCAGAAAGGCGATCCCGATCCTGTACCCAAAGCCAAAGGGCCTTCACCTGTCCAGTCGCTGGGCTAGACACTAGGGAGTCGTAAGGCTAAATTTCTGATCCTTAGACCCATGTGTTCTGTCTGCCACGGGCTACTTGGAACCTACCAGACCCCCGTATTCTTTTTCTTTCCCGCCGGCCTCCGTCTCTTAGTTGGGTTCGAGTTCTGGAAACAGCTGTGTGCTGAGCATGGCATCAGCCCCGAGGGCATCGTAGAGGAGTTCGCCACCGAAGGCACTGATCGCAAGGACGTCTTTTTCTACCAGGTGCCCACCACATGACTTGATCAGGACCCTAGGGACATGAAGGGAAGGGCAGTGACCTGGTGCTGGAAACTCACTGGGCAGGATGGGACCAGAATGGCTGTCTTAAGAAGGGAGGGCCTGCAGGAGCCAGAGTTGGGAGGATGCAGGACCTGATCCAGCCAGGCTCACTGGCCCATCCTGGCTTCCCTTTGGCAGGCAGACGATGAACATTACATCCCCCGGGCTGTGCTGCTGGACCTGGAGCCCCGGGTGATCCATTCCATCCTCAACTCCTCCTATGCCAAGCTCTACAACCCAGAGAACATCTACCTGTCTGAGCACGGAGGAGGAGCTGGCAACAACTGGGCTAGTGGATTCTCCCAGGTCATTTGCTGTTCCCCCAAGGGCTCTCAACTCACTAGGTGGGCACAGGCCCAGTGATTTTCTCCAGATGAAATTGGGTCAGATCAGAGACTAAGAGTCCTGGAGCAAAACAGACACGGCTTTAGGAGCTAACTGGAGCACTAAGAACCTATTCTAGCTAATGCTGTGTCGCCAGCCGTTCTAAGTACTTTATTTGTTAGCTTCATAAATCTCTGAATAATCCTAGAATTGAGTACTATGGGTCTATGGTCTTTTATCTCCTTTTTCATACTCAAATAGCTCTGAGACCAAAAGATATCTCAAACTTTGCTTAGCACAATCAATGCTCAAAGGAGATAGGCTATGTTGATGTTTCCAATCAGCTTATTGTCATTACTTGTACCTTTCCCTGCACTCATTAGCCTATTTGATAATACACCTCAGACCTCCATGGTTGTATTTGCATTGTTTCTCTTGGTGGTTCCAGGTCAGAACCTAAGGCCTTACATATACTAGACAGACTTACACCACTGAGCTATAAATCCCTAGCTTTGACGTGGTCTTTTTGCTTAGTGTTAACTTATTTACCGTTTGTTTTGTTTTTTTGAGACAGGGTTTCTCTGTGTAGCCATTGCTGCCCTGGAACTCTATTTGTACATTAGGCAGCCCTTGAACTCAAATTCACCTGCCTCTGTCTCCCAAGTACTGGGATTAAAGGCATGTGCCACTACCTGGGTAATAAGTGTTTTGTATATGTATACATAAAACTACCTTTCAAAAACCTAAAATATTTTGATTTCTAAAAATACCTGGCCTTTCAAATTTTAAATAGTGGACTATGGAGTGTCTTTTACCTTCTTTCTACAAATGAGGAAACTGAGGTAAATCTTCCCAAAGTCACATAACTAGGTAGAAATGCGATCCAGTAGCAGACGTGGATGGGGCATAGCGCTCATTTAGTAGATCACTGACTGTATTTATGAAGCCCGGGGTTCAGTCCTTAGCAGCTGCATAAAACTGGGCAGCCACGTGTATAGTAGAGGTGGAGGCAAGGGGATCAGGATGTCAAGGTTATCCTCAGCTAAATACAGAGTCTGCTGCCAGCCTGGGCTACATGAAATCCTGTCCAAATTGTCGAGCCTTTCCTAGCTCAAGCAAGGTCCTGGACTCACTCTCCAGGAATGAAGAGCTGTATGTGAACAGATCACGTGGATTGGGAGGCAAAGTACTTGGTTATAAAGCATGGTAGCAGTTGTCCAAATAAGAATCAAGGGTGGCTATCATGGGGTCAGTCCTTGTCCCGTGCTCTGTCCCATCTCACCCTTCTCCATGTCTGTCCAGGGAGAAAAAATCCACGAAGACATTTTTGACATCATAGATCGGGAGGCGGATGGCAGTGACAGCCTAGAGGTGAGTATCCCGGGATGTCGGTGGAGCTGGCTATGCGGAGGCTTGGCCACACCGTTAGAAATCAACCTGTTAGGGGCCATTGAGATGGTTGAGCAGGTAGCAGTGCTTGTGTTCAAGCTAGACAAACTGAATTTGATCCCTAAAATACATAACAGAAGGAGGTGATGGACTCTAAAAAGTTGTCCTCTGGTCTCTACACAAACATGGTGGCACACTCATGCACGATAATTACATTAATTTTTATTAAAGCTGCCAGTTAGGTATGAGACCCATTCATTTATACTCTGCAATAAACAGAAGCCAATGGGCCTTATTGAAGACGGGCAGAATCTCCTAGGCAGTGAGGGGCCTTGGGAAGACGAGAGTCTTGGACTTTGTGGGATATGTCTGGGTTGAAACCCTGCCACAGAAGGCTAGCTAGGAAGATGGTTCCGTGGTTAAGAGTACTTGCTGCTCTTGTAAGAGACCTGGATTTGGTTCCTAGCACCCACGTGTGGCTCACACTCATCTTCCAGTTCTAGGCGACCTGATGCCCTCTTCGGGCTCACACATGTGAGCACATGTATGTACATATGTGCAGGCAGGCACATTAAATTCTGTCACTAAACACCTGGGCACTGACAGACTCTTTCCTTTGCAGGGCTTCGTGCTGTGCCATTCCATTGCTGGGGGTACAGGCTCTGGTCTGGGCTCCTACCTCTTAGAGAGACTGAATGACAGGTAAGCCTGTGTTTGGGGGAATTAGGTGAAGATAGGGCTTTTATTTTGTTTCCTAAGGAGCTTGGGGTTCAGCAGGCATAGCTCCCTATTGGCTGGAGCAGTAAAGAGCCCTTCCATTCCCTCTTACTGTGAGGAAAGCGAAGTTACCCTGGAGAAACCCAATGATACTCCCAGAGGTCAGAGCCCGGGATGTAGGCCCTACTTTGAATGTGTGAGGAATCTTTCCAGGTTGGGAACCTAGGATTTTATAGTGTCTTTTCCCTTTCCATTTTGGAGTTTTATCTTTTCAAAGCTTAAACCCAGCATTTCTATGGCTTGTGGTCCCATCCTAATTTCACTTTTAGACATGTTGTGAAGGTTGATGTTCACCTAATCTTTAAACTTCTCCCAACACCACCAGGTACCCCAAGAAACTAGTGCAGACATACTCGGTGTTTCCCAACCAGGACGAGATGAGCGATGTGGTGGTGCAGCCCTACAACTCCCTCCTCACCCTAAAGCGGCTGACCCAGAATGCAGACTGTGTGGTGAGTTCTGGATTCTCCTTCCTACTGCCATCTTCCTGTCTGTATCTGTTTTCATTTGAGCCCTCTTATGGCCCAAGCATATGAGAGTCCCCTGTAAATGAGTGTTTCTGGCTCCTAGGCTCAAGACTGTACTCGGGCCCTGTCTCCATAAATTTCCAACCGTTTGCTATCCCTCCCAGGTGGTGCTGGACAACACAGCCTTGAACCTGATCGCCACAGACCGCCTGCACATCCAGAATCCATCCTTCTCCCAGATCAACCAGCTGGTGAGTCCCACTCCTGAAATGGAAGCCCTCTACCAGAGGATCCTCAGAGAAGGGATGTTCCACCCCATCCCATCCCATAATATCGTATCTCCTGTTCCCAGGTGTCCAC